CAGGGTGAGTCAACGATTACGCGGAGTAACTTAATGCCTTGAAGATAAGATTTTTCGATAGAGTGCTTTTGTATTATGATATGATTGAATATTCTCCCCATTTTAAAAATATTTGGAATTATACAGGGTGCGCCCACAAAGTAGGGCGCCAAAATGGTACATTTTTTTTCAATAGAACCCCCTGTATTTGAATGCATTTTTGAATTCTACGCGTAATTGTACGTCTTTTTTTATTATATGGTTAACATCCGAAAAGCTAGTAGTTTTAAAGATAATTCGATTTTTTAGAAAAATTGGGCAATGCAAGCGTCAGTAAGTATATTGTCAAAATTATTACTTAAATTTTGATTCCAGGTTAAGTAAAAGTCAAATAAATACATAATAAAACATTAAAAAAATAGCTTACAGGGTAGTTTTTTTCTAGATCCAAAGTTACAAAACTTCATATTAAAAAAATCTCACTTTCTTTAAATGGAACACCCTGTATATTTTTCTGTCATCTTTTAGCTCCTCCAAAAACCTTCAACTTTTGATAATAATGTGCTATACGGCTATACCTATCTCTGATAGTTTTCGAAATATCTTGGTTTTCCTGGTTTTTATATTCTAATCTTAAATAAGTTATATGTAATTTACATAATAGTGAGGTGGCCATGCAAAAAAAGGCAATTTTTATCTGCCTCGTTCAAAGCTAAAATCATATTTATTAATTCATTTTTCTAATTGATTTAAGTCTATAAAAACGGGAGAATAAATTTGATAGTAAAAACATAAACAGATATCTAGGTTTTTCTACTTTTTATATTTTAATCTAAAATAAGTTCTAATTTACAAACGAGGTGAATATGAAAAAAAATGAAACTAATATCACTGACTGGATGAATTAAATTTGCATTGTAGTCAAATGTTTTTACTTATTCTCCAGGATTAAAATAAATTGTTTGAAAAATAAATTAATCGATATGATTTTCGTTTTGGACGAGATAGATAAAAATGGCCACCTCACTATTATGTAAATTACATATAACTCTTTTATAGTATATAAAACCCAGGAAAACCAAAATATTTCGAAAACTATCAGAGAGGTATAGGACCTTATTATCAAAAGTTGAAGGTTTTTGGAGGAGCTAAATGATGACAGAAAAATATACAGGGTGTTCTATTTAAAAAAAGTGAGATTTTGAATATGAAGTTTTGCGACTTTGGACCTACCAAAAAAACACCCTGTAAGCTATATTTTTAATGTTTCATAGTAGATGTATTTATTTGACATTTACTTAATCCAGGATAAGATATAAAACCTGGAATCAAAATCTAAGTAATAATTTTGACAATATATACTGACGCTTGCAAATGCCCCATTTTTCTTAAAAATCGAATTATCTTTTAAAACTACTAGCTTTTCGGATAATAACCATATAATAAAGAAAGACGTACAATTACACGTAGAACTGAAAAATGCATTCAAATACAGGGGGTGCTTGATTTCTGTGGACGGTTTGTATTGCTTCTTCTAGCGCCTCCCCTGTTGGTGGGCGTCGTTGTTTCCCGAGCTTTTCACTCTTCGGGCCTGGGTAGGTCAGAACCTAATAATTTGTAGCTTGGTTTTACTCCTGTGGCGGCGTTCTTCCTTGTTCGCAGAGTGAACAGCACTCTCGGAAGTATGGTTGACCTGACACTGGGGTTCTTCTCTACGAGTTGCGTCCGGAGTCCATGTGCATATGTATCAAATTTCATTGAAATACTTTCATAAATAACAAAGTTTGCAATTCGGCCCATAAGTGGTCGAGATGCGAAAAGGGCACTGTGAATGTTGAATCGATTAGACTCAACTTTTGACATTGCGTATAAATTATATACCTACTAAAGCTATGCCCATAGTGCATTTCATACTTTCTCACTTCGATCCCAGGTAAGCCCCCTCTCCTCTCCCCATACCATAGATGGGCACTTACTCTATACAGGGGAGATCTGAAGCCACGATGTGTAGTGTATTCGTCATTAAAACAGGCACACCGAGTAGACATAACTCAGCCCAATATCTGAAAAGGGAGGGGACGTTCACCCATGCAGTAGAAGGGCTATATAATAACTGTTTCCAACACCTACAAGTTACCACGCACGCGCTACCACCTTCACATATCTAAGGACCAAGTTCTTACCTCTATTAACCTACGCAGGAACCTGGGAGGGAGCCATGTGGTAAATGCGGATAGATAAAGGAAGCTGCATTACTCCTAATCCAACCGTCGTTGCCGTTGCCCCGCCAAACAAAGAACCTTATACCCAATCACAGGCCATTTAAATGCCATCGTTGACGGCGAAAACCTCACCACCAACGCCGAACATCCACCCCTTAGCGCGAACCATCTGTCCATTACACTGTTCATCCAACGACGCCATCTATACGACTACTAAAGCTAACCACCCGACAACCGATGCTAATCAACTGACCACCGACCTTAGATCATATAAACATGGATGGAGCGATGCAATTACACTATGTCGCCAACATGTTCTGATTCAAGACTCTACATACTCTTGTGCTGTATCTCTCTTGTCGACGTACAATTTAGATGTTGTTATTCCATGTACCTACAGTTTCAGTGATAATAATAATAATAATGTTTATTTTACTGCAACAACGTTGCCGCACAAGATGTACAACAATAGTAGGCAGTAATTGTCATGCATAAAAACAATAATACACACCAAAGTACATAATAACCATGATGTGTATTGGGTTGACCTATATAACTCAATGCTCAAAATATTCTTTTAGGTTGTAAAAATTTTGGTTTAGTAAGTATGTTTTGAGTTCTTTTTTGAACTTGCGAATGTCGTTTTGAGTTTGTATGTAATTTGGGAGGACATTGAAAATCTTACAGCTTAAATAGTTTAAGTTATTTTGAAAAAGTGCTGTTCTATGCCGACCAGGATTTAGTACTAACTTGTTACGTGTATTATAGGCATGTGTTAATTTAATAAACTGTTTTTTATTTTTGAAGGCGTATAAACATGTTTCCAGGATGTAAAGGTCAATGACTGTCAAGATTTTTAATTTTTTGAAGTAAGTTTTACACGACGTTGTTAATGTAAGTTGACACATTATTCTTACTGCACGTTTTTGTAATTTAAGGATTCGTTCCACATGCGCACTGGCACCCCAGATACCAATGTTGTAGCTTATGATAGCGTGAAAGTTTGCGTGGTATAAAGTTAAAAGCGTATTTTGATTGCACAAACGTTTAAAAAAGTGTAACGCGTAACAGCATTTCCGAAGCTTAGTGCACAGGTTGTCTATATGTTCTGACCATGATAGATCTCTTGTTATTGTTACTCCTAGCATCTTTGTAGAGGTGGAGCATGGAATACCGAGGGCATTTTCGATTTTGCAGGTATTGCGCTTACTTCTAAAGTGTATTACTGAAGTTTTCTCAGTATTTATAATTAAGTTGTTATTTTTACCCCATTGATTTAATTTGTCAAATATTAATTGAGCTTTCAATAGAAGATCGTTAGTAGTGTTTGATTTTATTAGAATATTGGTGTCGTCAGCATAACAGGTTATAAACACACTATTGTCAGTTGAATGTAACAAGTAAGGTGCTAAGTCATTAGCGAAAATGATAAACAACGTGGGCCCAAGAATAGATCCTTGAGGGATTCCAGTTGACATGAACGATCGGCTACTGCAGTGACCCTGTGGTAATTTAACAAACTGGGATCTATTCGATAGATAAGACTCAAATAGTCTTAGTGGTGTGCCGCGTATGCCGTAACGGTTCATTTTGTTCAACAGAAACTCATGACTAACAGTGTCGAAAGCAGATGAAAAGTCAACAAATAATCCGAGTGTTAATATGCGCTTATCCAAAGAGCTGACGATTTCGGATACGAACTCATTTAAAGCTGTACAAGTGGATTTGGATTTTATAAATCCATGCTGAGATTTGTTCAAAATATTGTATTTTAGTAAGTAAACCATAAGTTGCTTATTGATAACATTTTCTAATACTTTTGAAAAACATGACAGGATGCTGATAGGCCTATAGTTTGTAACATCACGAGGGTCACCTTTTTTGAAAAGCGGATTAACAATAGCAGTTTTCAAGGAGTCTGGATAGATTCCAGTTTGCAGGGTTAAGTTAATGATATGGCAAAGTGGTAACCAATCAGAAAATTCAAATCTTTAACCTCACAATGTTAATAAACAATGCAATATTTATTATTTAGGGTAAAAAAGGTTCTCAATACATGAATAAATACATCTTTATAGGATAATTTAGTGGTACAGAAGAGTATTAAAAGTTTAGTTTCATATATAACCATGTAAAGTCAAGTAAGGTTAAACAACAAAAACAGCTGTTTGCGAATATACGATGTCAAACGGACAAACGTTCTAACAATCGCCAAGCTTACGCACTTTTACAATCAACCCGGCAAAGGATAAATACATTACAACTTACTAATAGTAAAAGATGATAGGCATAAAAATGCACGTTGGAATGTTGGCGACGGTTGTCTTTTAGTAGAGCTTATGAGATAGCTCTATCCATGTTTATATGATCTAAGCCACCAACCGTCGTCACACACCCGACCTCAAAACCAAAGCCCTTCATGGTATTCTAATGAAAAGTCTCATCGAAAGGAATTAATTTCTACCAACCACAGCCCTCCTCCTCGACCTCTTATCGTGATCGGGTATATTCCCTTATACCTCAAGAACGGATTGTCGGAAGAGGGTACTCACAAAGGGCGATTGAGACGTCTGCGAGAAATATATCCATTGGTAATGTCAATACAAAAGCTATTTAGGTTAAAAAAATGCGCTTTATCTGCACTGTTTAAATCAACTTTGATTAAACTCCGGCGTTGTTAAGATCAACAGTACGTAAAAGTTGGAACTTTTACTGGCATCATTCCTGTTAATTCTTATGAAATGCTGACATATTGGCCACTTGAAACTGTTGAAATAGCGTTCATTTATTGTGATTTTTTGCCTTTATTGTTGACTTAAAAAACGCTACAAATTATGCGATGATACGATACAACACACAAGATATTGCAACTGTCAATCGAGTTGCCTAAAAACAATATATTTATCAAAAACGTGTCCTCCTCCTTCTCCGCAAGTTAGGTGCTTTGTTCCCACTAATTCCTGAACGAAAACCACGATCAAAAAATCTATCGATGGTGTGGTATAGATGAGGGCGCACAGATCCAATCGAATGATCTTCATCCGGATAACTCTAAAAAATATATAGTACCTACTATTGGATTTATAAATAGTCGTTACCTGTTGAAGGAACATAACATCTGCTTTCTCTAACGCCCTTGCTAGTACCATTGATTGCTGGTAGTGAACATTGTCGTCTGCGTTACCGTGAACAATGAAAAATAATTTATTTCGGAAAGCTTCAACCGACCGTGTGAGATCGGTATTGTTGTAGCCTTGTTCATTATCATCTTTGGTCGGTAATCCCATATACCTTTCGGTGTAAATGGTATCTGAAACGTAAATTATGGGTGCGAAACAACACACAACACGTACCGTAAAGCCTAAAACTGGTTACAGCCGCAACAGCTAGCCCCCATTTAAATACATTTTCTGTATCCTTTGCTAAGATCGAAAGGGTTGCGAAACCACCATAGCTCCAACCCCAAATTCCTGTTCTATTCGCATCTATATATTTATAGTGCTTATGTAAATATCTGAAACCCAAGCAACGCCATAATGAATGGGTAATTTGGTTTTACGGTAGTGATCGTACTTGGTCACCTCAATTTGGTCTTCCATCTCAACCGTTCCCAGTCTTCGATATACTTCAAACATCAAGTTATCCCCATTCTTTCCAGAACCTCTTCCGTCAATGGAGGCGTAGATGTATTGACGGTTGGTCACAAAGTAGTTTTCTTCACCAGCTGAGTATGCGTTCGAAATTTCGTTGGAATTTGGTCCTCCATAGCTAAAGACGAACATCATCGGAATTATCGCATAATAGTTAAGTTGCGAAGACGCTTTCTAAATTATCTACCTGGTCATGAAAATGAAAAAGTGTATGTATACAAAGTCAAATGTACCTAATTATTACTGATTACATAAGCCATCTGCATATTATGTAATGTATAAGTTCATTTAAAATCGTCGCGAAGACTACGTGCATTCCTGCCCAAATGCGTTACATGCGAACTGTCTATCCAATCGACATTTTTCGGTAGTCAAAGCTGAGAAACCATTCGTATATAGGAACCCGACTCGCAAGGAAAACGAAGTAGTTATGATCAAAACAGTACATAGCAAAAAGAGCAATAAGCAAGTTTCCTTTTAATGCGTGTAGCGGGAGCCCGCTTGGGTATTATGTTCATTTCGAATTTTAATTTTATATAACTCTACCCCAGAGAACATGCGTGTCATATATGGCTACAGTCACTCCATAGAGACAGTGACGACAAGACTCTTTAATTACACATCTTTTCTCTAGTTCGACCATCGTCGTAGGATAATTACAAGTAAAATAAAAAATTTGAGCTAACCGTCGGTACTTTCAAGGAAAAACTTTTATTTGTTACTCGGTTGTAAACGTTGATTAACAAGACAAAACGCAAACGGGTAAACGTCATGTTTAAACGCTACTGACTTGTAAAACTGACAGCAGACCTGTAAAACTGACAGCAGACGTGTAAAAATTTTACAAGTTAGTAATCTAGTAATTTCATTGGCCAGAATTAATGCGAAGTCTCTGTTACATGGATAGCATGATATTTTAGACATTTCTTCAAGATTAATTTAAGAACTAATTATTTACGTTTACTATTGTTTACAAATGAGTAACAAATAAAATATTGTACATTATACGCCAGGTAATAGTTTTTACTGGCTCTAGGAGATGACAAGCTCGCCTAACGGCTCGCCAGTCAACTTCTCCTATCGCCAGTAAAAACTCACTTACCTGGCTAATAATGTAAAATACTATAACATCACTGTAAAAAATCAAAATCTAATAACACGATCCAGCATCCCTGAAATGTAACCACTGTTACATGTATCACAAGATTTTGTATTCTTACTGGTCGCAACGTTCTTATTTTAACACAACCGGAACTACATAAGCGTGACAGCCGCAATGAAAGTCGGCATTTCTCGTGGAAAAGCCCGTGCTTTCAAATATGCCTCAGGTAGTGCAAGATTTACATTTTCATTAAAAAGGGGTAAGCAAAACTCCGACTGCTTCGATATAGTTAGCACCCAATAAACGAGAAAAGGTCCCACCCCTTCAGTGACCTTGAAGCCAACGATTACTCAAAGCCGTTTGAACTTCACATTAGCTCAGAACCACTTTAATTCAGGCAAGAATCGAAACCCACGTCCACGATTCACCTTCAGTGACATTGATTTTAATAGAGTTTCAAACCCACGTCCACGTTTCACCTTCAGTGACATTGATTTAGCAGGGTTTCAAACCCATGTCTGCGTTTGACCTTCCAGTGACATTAATTTTGAATCGGCTATAATATACTACTGGTGGTAGAAGGAAGTAGAAGACAGAATTAAATTAATGGAAGATCGTCGACTAAAAGCGAAACACGCCACGCCTGATTTTTATACAGAGCTCCTTAAACGAAATTAAGATAAAACCGTGAAACTTCGGCAACAATCTTCGCGGAACAAGGTCCCCGCAGCTAATTACGAGTGCATTTGAATAATGAAAATTAACGCTTTCCTCTAAGACGGTTCAAGATTTTTCAAGCACTTTCAAGCACTTGAACGCGTAATGTAACGGGAACCCACTAGCGCATTTTATGTATTATTATAGCGCAGGTTTCTTCAAAATTTTTGGGCGAATGGTTAACGAGTACGATGTTGTCAAGCTAACTGCGTGCGGCGCCGAAAAGTCTCGACTTAAGGCTCCTCTGTAGTCAATCCGCCATATTTGAAAAATAACTAAACTTTCTTATGAAATGCCGCTTTTGTAGTTGAAGTCTAACAAATTCTCGATAGTGGATACTCTTTGCAATGATGAAAAGAACGGCGGTACTTAAAAAAAGCTGAAATATCGGTCTTAGTTTTTTTAGGAAGATCGTTGAATAGAAAAATCGTTTTTCGTAAATAACAGCCGTTGTAATGGGAGTAGAAAAACCTACAGCACCAATTTGGAAAACCGACAGTATTTTTTACGGCGGTACTTAAAGATATTATTTCCATCTATTATGATAAGGCATATATTTTTAAAAAATAAGTTCCGCGATTTTCAGAAAAGAGCGCAACGTTAACATAAAGGTAGGCAACTAAAATTGCACTTAAAACCCCTAAGGCGATATCTCATTACTTGCAAGGGAAGACAACAGAAACTACCTGGCATTATCCTGGCACATTGTTACCTCGTTCCTAATGACATGGATTAGATAAACTACTATATAATTAGCTAATGTTTATTTTTATTTTTATAGAAATACTTTTTTATTTCTAAAACATTTTCATTCTATCTAGATTCTTCAAGAAATTTGTTTAGGAAGATATCAAATAGTAGCCCCATTTTTTAGCTCAACCCAAGCGGAATACGACCACTTATGTGTTTTAGATACATAGTGAGACGATTATACCAATAATTTGTTGGCTTCTTGTCGCAATTCAGGTGTGGTGTAAAAATTTGACTCCTTTTTGTTTTTTTAACATTTTGTACCATGAAACTGCTTATCTACGTGCATAAAAACATTTAAAAAATGTGGTAGGGCAGAACAAACGCATGACCTCGACATAAGGAGAAAGCACAATACCACAATTCCTATGTAGTATCCTTACAAAATTCATCAGAAGTTTCAATTATTTATTTATTTATTATCCATCTCTTGTTTTGGGCCCTCAACAGGCATGCACCCAATTATACAGAGTGACCCGCATAATGCTATTTAGAGGTGCCCCTGCAGAGGGTCTTAAGTTGGTCTATACTACAATACTACTCCGGTATTTACCTCACGAATTAGGAAAACTGCAGGAAAACCTAATTCGGAGTAGCCGGTAGAATGCTCGGAACTGGTCTAAGGTAATTTCCATCTCCGCCGCAGATGAAAAATTCACCTCAAGCCAGGTTCGAACACCCGACCTCCGGATTTATAACCCAATGCTCTACCACTGAGCCATAAATCCGGTTAATTAGCATCAATTCAAAAGTAAAGTTTGTCAAGTTAGCGAGACACCACCAAAATGAATATCCGTATCAAAAAAAGCGGCATAATTCGTTGGTTTTCCCCGTTATTAGTGGCAGATATAAAAAATTCTCGCACTTTTAACAAATTTCGGACTATTTACTTTTTCCGTTTGAGTGCCTATGCTTTTTGCGAGTCCCGCAATCTTCACATCAACTTTGCTGCGATTTTTTTTTAATTTCCATTACTATGTGGCAACAGAAAACGATATGTTCTATATACTGTGTACTTATTTTTAGCGGATTTTTTTAAGAAATAAAAAAATGTGTAATTGTTTGCGTTTTGCCCGTCCGCCCGGGCCCACTTTTTTTTAACTACTATTAGGGGAATGGTAACATATATAGTCTTGGATTTTTTTGCAATAAGTAGCCTATACCTTGGAGGTCCGCCAGACGGCCATCACTTTTAGATGTTTTAAGGCCCCCCTCTTTTTTACCCTTATCAAAATAGGGAGTTCGGGGAAGAGAGGGGCTAGTTTTATCCATACTCTAATGAAAGGTCTCAACAAAAGGAATCCATTTTTACCTCTTCGACGCTTCATCGTGATCGGTTATAATTTTTATCTCTATAGCGAATTGCCGGAGGAGGTACTCACAAAGAGCGATTGGGACGTGTGGAACAAATATATCCATTGGTAAGATCAACACGATAAGAGCGAATACAGTTTGTCGGAGGAGAGGCAGAATGAATCGTCTGGACGAGACATCTATTGATGAAGTCGAAGCGAATATCTTGACAACAGAAGAGCCTTATAACCCAAATATTTACTAAGCTATTTCGGTTCAAAAAATGCACTTTATCTGCACAAGAGTTGTGCACAATTTATAATTGTTTCAATATGATCTGATATCAACAAGGATGAATACTTGGTCGTCAAAGAAATAGAGGAATGCCCAATTTCAATTTTCACTACTGAATTAAGGATTTAAAAAACCGAATTATGATACAGCACAAACGATGCCAATATCGATACTTACAGACCAAAAGGTGTAAATTCGATTGCTTGATGTCCATGTGATATTTCATGCTTTTTGGTGCGGAATATGGTTCTACCCATAAAAATGGAAGATAGGTTGCAATGACAATATGTATAGACATGTGTATTATTGTGTTAGTTACATTTTTACCAGCAGTTTTGTCTGTTCGTAAAAACCTTCATGGGCCGTGCATAAATAAAACGAATACGCTAACTGTAAAATTATTTTTTGAAAAGATAAGAACTTTTTTTAAATAAGTAAATAATAACCTATTAATTATAAAAATGTCTAAATCAAAGTTGATCAGTAAAATTGATTAAAACAAATAACAGGAAATAATAATAAGGTGTAATTAACTAACAATCTATTGGGAAATGTTAGCAAACATTGCGAATTTTCTCCAATAATTACCTTAGAATCAAGTAATTTACAGAAGATCTCATTATAGACAAATGGAGTAAAAGGAACAGGTATTTGTGTAGCTTTATTCGAATATTGACTACACCTTTTCAATAAACTTGTTTACATAATTAGTCATCATCAGATCATTATACCTGGTCTATTGTGTTTAACAATAAATGAAGAAAATATGCAAAACTGAAAAGGATAGAAATATACCGTTTTCGCACTCCACGAATATACGTAGAAATGTGTATTGTTGGTGGTCTAACCAATTGCAATAACATTGAAATGCAAATTGACTACAGAGGAGCCTTAAAACGGAATTAGATAGAATTACATGGCCCTTCGCTGATCACAAATCCGTCGTTATGGAGTTTGGTACTCGTTATTTTCAGCTGCGTATATGGGAAAGCAACAATTTTGGGTTTCTTGATATGCGATTGGCCGAACGAAATGAATTCCATTTGTGGAAAAGAAATTAAGACGGTCGTTGAGAATTGGGTCGTTCCGCAATATCCGAGGTCACGATAGCGCGTTTAAAAAAAGTTAAGGTTAATCACCCGCAAGTTCTACGGAGAGTAGTTATTGTTGCTGAACAAAATTCGGGTTTAAAAGCCTCTCGAAAATTGAATCGAACCGCGATAGCACTCGTGTCAAAGTGCAAGAGAGAAAAAATGTCAGTTCATTAGCCGTCAGTTACGGACATGGGGACATGCGCAGATCTTAACTCTTTGAGCCTGAAGTTTGAACAGTAGACAATAGGTAAATATACTACATTGGGTAATTAGGTTGGCCGCCTACCGTTATTTGTGACATTTTGTTTAGCACATCTCAATGTTTAATTGAATGTGTCAATGCAGATGGTAGAGAAATAAATGTTTATGAAGCTTTATCTATACTTACACCTTTACGACCATGGGATACTTCTTATCGCTTTTTTCGTCTAGGGTCGGCGGCAGTCGTAAGCGAACGTAAACCGTGTAACCGTTGGAGAGAGGCACTTGAAGCCGTTTAATAATCGGCTTATATTTTTTGGAAAGGCGTTTGCGTAAATCGGCATTGTCCTCCCATACGAACGACGCAGATGACTGTGTTTAGTGGTTTTAGGCTTTGCCATTAGTAAGATCAACTCACCGTCAGACTTTTGACCTGTACAATTTTTGGTCCAGGTCCGGAACACGTTTGCGCATAATGGGAGAATTTGGCACTAAATGAACCGCTTGCAAATTGGCAGGGACCTTCTGGTGTGGCAACGTCGCAAGTAAGGCAACGATCAGAGGCTGTTTTGAGATCAACAACGTAAACGTGCTGTTGACCATGGTCACCTTCGATGGTACCAGCGTAATATCTAAATCAATAGTGTTGGAGGAATCAAAACCAAAAAAACTACTTACACTAAACTCCTAGCTTCGTCCCACCCGTATACACTGCTAATAACCCGTTTACCGAATGTAAGTCTTTTACGTTGTGAGATATCGTGGTTTTCAACCAAAGATAAATGTTTGTAGGTGTCTTTTCCTTCAGGCTCAGGCAGCAGTAGCAGAAATTTTGATCCGTCACTATTGTAAATAGGTGCCTTTAATTCTATCCATCCATGAGCGAGTTTCTTCTCGTAAAACTAGGATTAGTTTCATTACACATTGATTCCTTGGGCTGTAACTGCTTACTTACTGTATTACATTTTTTGGTAGTGAGTGTGCAACGAACCATAGCCGCAATATTCTGTACGCGATTTAACGACACGGCAACAACATCTGTGTCTGTAGCCCACTTAACATCTTGTAGAACATGGTCTTTGCTTACAATATCTACGGGAATTATACTTGAAATATCTTCCACTTCGCTTTCTTTATTTTTCAAGTTTACGTATTTGACGGCGACTGTCGGGTTGGTCATTCCTGGCTAAATATAAATAAAAATTGGTGTGATACTTCCCAACTAGTTTTTAGGTACCTTGGGATACTTTATGGTGACCACAGTTGGATATTGCACGGTTGAGTTGCCATAAATAAAATAGTGGAAGTCATTCACCTTTCTGTCATCGAAATGAACAAACACTAAACCTTCTCCATTTGGAGAAAACCAAAGTGCAGAACCGGACAATAGTACTTCTTCTACAAAAAACACTACACACACGGTGATAAAGTAATCAATATTCACCTTCGTATACCCAATCGGGAAGGCCGTTGTATATTACACCAGGTATACCATCGTTTGTTATTTGTCTTGGAGTTGCTATGCCACCGACTGTCTCTACATAGTAGATGTTATTAAGATACACATAGGCCAAACCTTCTCCTTGGCGATCCCAAAGAACGTATTGTAAGGCTTCTCTGTTGTGAAGATGATGATACTGTCTGCAAAATAATTTACTTTACGTTACCTTTATGGCAGTAACTCACTGTTTGTTGATGTCGTAAACTGTATACTGGGCGGTATCGGAACGTCTGAACACCTAAAATCACTTCTGGTAAAAGTAGGTATTCAATTTACTACCTACTAAACTTACTCGTTTAATGTTGTGCTTAATTAAAACAAATTTGAAATCTTTAGAAAACGTTAGTGTGCTCGAAGGGTAATCGGTCTAAAATTAAATACATGACGATGGGGCAACAACATCAATGAAAGGATCTTACGAAAATATTCTTATCCAAAAACAAGTGTTTTTGGCCGTCAACAGCATCTACCTTGTAAATGTTGCCACTTTCTTTAAAAATAAACGACGAATCTGAAAAAAGCAATAATGGTTGGGCGTATTGTGTAAATGTGTGCGTGTGTACCAGAAATCCAGTTTCCATTCCACCCAGAATCTAGAAATGATCCATTCAGATATTCACTTAGTTGAAAGGGTTCTAAATTTTGGGCACTGCAGTTGCCTAGTAGAATGATGTTCAGCAAAAGTATTGTTGTAATCTAAAAATGAAAGTACAGGGAGTCTATAAAAGAACTCCGGGGTTTAAAAAATTAATATTTTTTAAACTATAAAAGATAGCAAAATTTGATCAATTCCTTTGAAACAAGCAGCTCAAAGAGTTTTACTCATACGAATTGGGAATGTTTCTCTCAACAGTTGGCAGCGCTGCGGAGCGTTGACCGTGAAATGGCGTAACGGCTGCGGCAGGCAGTCAGTGTCGTCTGGACTAACTAACTAACGGAGCTCACATTGAACTTTACTAAGTTGTTAAAAAATCTTGAAAATGTATGCTTTCTAATCATGTATAAAACATGTATGTACGTTTTTTACTGTATTAAAATATTTTGTCTTAAAACCCCGGAGTTCTTTTATAGATACCCTGTATAATGTTACGACATTGACAATGGGATTAGTTTAGATTATAAAAAGTGTGTCTTGGGCAGTGAATTAAAACCAAAGTTACTGACACGTAACTTTACATATGCATAGTGTAGTATCAAACCAGAACGGAGGGTGTTCCAAAAATACATCGATTATATTATCTGTGTTCGATAATTGGAATACAGTGATTGTCTGTGATATCTGTGAGATTGCGCCTTTTATCTACTACCTATTAGTAGGAATAAACCGATAACGTACATCATAGGTCCGCGTTTCACTATTACACTACCCCCCTTTGGCAGTGGTTTTGGGGATGCATACATCATCATGTTTTTCACTAGATCTACTTGAACCAGGAGTTATCAAAAAGATAATTACTTGTCTCAAATACATCAATAAACAACCTAATCGTAAAACTCAAGGCTATCACTGTTAATTTCAAGTGTTACCTAATCAAATAACTTACCCTCACCTCCATTGTTCCGTCCAAACCTGTTCGGGCTTACTGACTTTCGATAGGAGCAACACTTATACATATAGTAAAAAATTATCTAATCAAATAGCCGTGCATTACATACTTAAACAATCTACTCGTTTTATTAAAACTTTCAGTAAACTTGCGGAATCAATGTACATCTTATAAAATGTGTTTCGCGTCAAGACTTTATACTTCATCAGTTTTTAGGATCATTCCATTCACGGATACAGCCTTTCCTAACCTAGAGTGAGCTATTTCTGACCATTCTTTATCTTCAACTCACCATCGATCTCAATTATGGTTTTCTTCCTTGTCCTTGTTTACTAGTTTTTCTTTATGTGTTTATGTACCTACGCGACGTACAAGTTAGAGCCTTTAAGACGTAGCTCGAGGACCGCTCGTTTTAGCGATTGCGTGGCAATATCCGTTTCCATACCTTCGCTATATTCATTTCAGGAACTACTACGTTTTCGATTTATTATTTTAGTGACTTCTGATTTACCAGCTAAGTAGCATCCCAAGACTTCTTGGTCAACTATGGAAATATTTTCAGGGGTTGGGGTTCAGGGTTGTATGTGGCCTCTAATGAATAAAGACATATTATATGAAAGTCATATTTTGTTGAACTTTAGTTTGGTGATAAATTGATTAGTTAAGTACCTAGGTAGTCGAAAAAGGTAGATAGGTAAATATAAATGTAAAATAAATAGGAAAGTGCATCAAAACTCTTACAAGTGCAGTCATATAGGAAATGACATATAAAGTAGTGCATTGAAGAAATGTTCGGACACTTCAATTTATGTTACAAATGGGTACCTATCCGTCACGGTAAAGTCATTGTATCATTACCACTAATCTCTAGAATCCTTACAGTGATGTACACATAACCCCATAAATTTTAAATGACATATACTTCTTATTCTGTATCCATTGTTGAAGTTAATCACCGCGTTAAAATATACTAGACTAATCTAGAAGGTATATCCTATCTCATGAAAAGAATCAGTCACATCCGCTTTCATTCTTTATCGCCGATTACTAATCCTTTATCGACTTGATGGCGCCTTGATATAGCTCTACAAAAATCGCTACACTGACCCCTTCTTAAAACCGTTGCGTATCGCAACACTGACTACGGTTGTATCGGAGATAAGTCCCAAGTAGATCTTGTGCGATCGCGTTATTTCGATGGCGGTACTTGCACGATGATCCATTCGTCCATCTTTTCATTTCCATTAACTGTTCTATGAAAGGGTTCTGGGGTTCCTCTCTGTGTTTGAAACAACCAACAGACCAATATCTTCACTCCGGTTCCTTGAAACACCACCACCAGTATATTGCGCACGATGCGCAAGTGTAACTTATCCAGGCCAAATCCGACCTTAGGAACACCATAAATTTGTAGTTGTGGTTTTTTAAGTACCTACTGTAGCGCATTCCAAAAATCCTTGTAACTAGGTCATTTGTTACGAGATAATAAAGAAGTCGTCCCTGCTCCAACCACCAACCTCGGGATGTTAACAGTAGATTTGCATTAAACGACCAAAATGAAAAGTCTTGACAAAAGTTGCAAAGGGAGAGTGAAGGTAGGAGTAGGAGTCAAAATATCTCGAGAGTGCTGTACGATGGTACTTCTTACAACGGAAAAGAAATTCAATACAGAATCTTTTTATAGACATGGTTCTCATAGGTCAATTTCTTCAGGAAGATCAAAATTACTTTGGGATCCTCTATTATTCAACGGGGAGGGGGGGGGCAAAAAGGGGTAGAGGGGGTGTAGTGAAATAATCACGTGTATTTATTTTTTCGCTAGAACGCCCGAATTCTAAACCGAAAAGAGTCGCGAGTTAACCCCGTTGCCTGACAACGATTTCTTTGTACCAAAAATTCACATGATTTTGGGATGGGAAGGGGGTTAGTCATAAAGCCACGTATCGCCAGGAGAAAGGGGGGTTTAAAAAGTTATTAAAAAGATCACGTGATTAATGGACGATTAATATCAATACGTAGACGGAAAGGAGTGTAGATAGGACATATTTTGAGGCGATACTGTTTAATGAGAAGGATAATCGAAATCAATGGGAGGAACCGAAGAAGAAGAACTAGACTACTAACAAATATAATGGGTTGGAAAAGTTACCACCAAATGAAGCAGGATAGAGGAAAGTAGCGAACCAGCTACTACTTATCTTAGGACAGACCGCCTAATGTACATTTGATTCCGTTTCTACGTAAAGAACGCGTCTCCAATTCGAAAATGTTTCCTCGCGTAGATTATCTCACTCGTCAAATGAATGACCTTGCGACAAATTAGGCTAACTCCCAAATTTTAATTAAAATTGAAGCTGTAGGAAACTCGCGCCAAGGGTTAACCTCGTCTGTTCGCTTATAATCCCTGCATAAAGCGGTACATTTAAAATCTTCCTATGCCAAAATGTAAATTCGAAAGATTACTTGTTTGTTAAAAAAACGGCTAAAGTCACCGCCCTATACACTAGTGATACTGACAAAAGCTTCCAAACAAATTTTTCTAATGAATATTTTCGGAAATGCTTACCTCAAATGAAGGAGTAACTCTCATGTAGGTGTTTCTTAAATTTGTGCGAATGAAAATTATTTGCTTTGTCGTTATTTGTAAAGAGCGCGAGAGTTCTTTGTCAAGTGCTTTTGTAAACGCTGGTAAATACGTATGAAGAATGATAGGACAAAGAGTTTGTTCGTTCGCCGAAGTAGTTCCCACACTTATAGCGTACTTACAGTTACCAACTCGGGAAAAATTACAAGCAGAGCCATCTAACATTTATGTCAAAATGTCGGACGTTTCGCCCCACATTCAAATCTCGGTAGCAATCGACATGGGCTGGGTGGTACGAATGGAATTCCTACGATGTGAATTATAATGGTTTTACAAAAAAGTTCTACTCTAGCATAACATGAGGTACATGTGAAAAGGCTAGCAGTAATCGATTACCACAAACAGAATCATGCTAAATAATAGAAAAGTTAATTAGAGGACTCCCATTCTTGTATTGCTAAGACACAAGAACTGCATTGAAAAAAGAAAGTACTAAACAAAAATACCTTTATTTAAAGCTATACTTTATTTACAGTGGAATTAATATCTGCTACTTTAACCTTCCGTAATTTCCAAGTTTTCAAATGTTGATTTTTGAATCCATAATCGAAAAACTTACTCATCGTGTGAAAAAGATGCCGATGGACGTGTATCAAACTGTGAGCTTCGTCGGGATAACTCTGAAATTGCCCCCCAGTATTATACACATGAAGGCCAAATAAACTTCTTAGCTCAAGATCGTAAAACTCGACAAGGCTGAAGAAAGCCCTAACTAAACTCATGATCGGGAGCTCTTAGCGAACGATGAAGATAGAAATGGCGGTGGGTCATTTTGAGCTTTATCAAGCTTGTCGAACTCCGAGTCTTGTATGCAATGGACTAACCTGCTGGAAGAATCTAATGTCGGCCCTTTCAAGTACTTTCGCTAACATCATCGACTGTTGGTAATGTACATTATCATCGGCATTCCCATGGAAGATATGAAACAGTTTATTTCTTAGTCCTTCCACTTGAGTCATTATATCTGCGTTTTGATATCCTACTGCATTATCATCTTCTGTAGGTAATCCCATGTACCTTTCCGTGTAGATCGTATCTGAAAGAGGGATTTATTTTATCTTACAATTTGAACAAGTTACCGTAGTATAAGAAGCTAGTGACCGGTGCAACAGCAATTGCTAATTTGAACACGTTTCTTGTATCTCGAAGTAGCGCCAAAAGGGCGGCGAATCCGCCATAGCTCCAACCCCAAATTGCCGTTTTGTCAGCATCGATGTATTTGTATTTGTTTTGCAAATACCTAAAATACCACTATAGACAGACAAAAGCTGAGCTAAGTCAACATACCTCGTAACTTCAATTTGATCTTCAATCTCCACCGTGCCTAGCCTTCTGTAAATTTGGAATAGCAGCGTGTTACCGTTGTTACCAGAACCTCTTCCGTCTATATATGCGTAGATATAACTATGATTTGTGACGAAGTAATTTTCTATTCCCTGAGAATACGTATTGACCACCCTGTTTGAGTTGGGTCCGGCGTACCTATCTTGTCAACGCTGTACTTATAAGAAGCTATTGCAGGATTCTTTCCACTTACACGTTAACAATCAGGGGATACTTCTTGTTTTCTTTCTTGTTTAACGTCGGAGGTAGTAACAGTCGCACTGTAGCGTATAATCCACCTATCAGAGGGACTTTTAAGGTTTTTCGTATAGGCCGAAGCTTTTTGGCTAATCGCTCTCGTACGATAGTGTTGTTTTCCCATACGAAGTACTTGCGAGACTGTAATATATAAGCATATGTAGAGTACTATAGAGTGCTATTCATTTAGAAGTCGACATAGGGATTTCCTATGTCTACTTTTAAATAACAACAATCTTCTGAAACACGGCTAATTTTATGCAACCACAATAACATGGGCACGCATTTTGCATTGTCATTCTAGATTTTAATAAAAAAAACAACAGTAAATAGTATGCTTTTAGGTTATGATGAAGAGATATTAAATTCGGCAGCTATTTCCCTTAAGTTTCTTATGGATTCTTAAGGATTCTCTTCCACAACAATTAAAACATTCAGTTTCATATTCTCCGTTAAAATTGTAGGTTGTTTACGGTGTCTTATGTGGATCGCATTTAAATAACCACTTATTTTAAAGTGATCAACACTGAAAATAAGTCTCTTATGCTCCTGAAACTGATACCGGCACTCTACCAATTGATAATATCAACTTCTTCAGTTGAATACATCGCACAAGCAATAATATTCCAATTAATAAAATTAGGAGCACTTCAGAAGAGTATTTGTCTTTTAAAACCAGAGATAGGAAATCCCTATGTCTACTTCTAAATGAATATCACTGTATAAGTTAACCAGTTTAACTCTGATTCAGTTATATTATTATGTTGTATTATGACGCACTCACCCAGTCGAGATATCAGGCCTCTATCAGAATACCTACCTCAAGATTCTGAACTTGTACAACTTTAGGGCCTGGTCCACTGCATATTTGGGCGACATAAGAAAACTTTTTACTAAAAGATGCACTGGCCACTTCGCATAATCCTTCTGGTGTTTCCATATCGCAACTCAAACAGTTCTCAGTATTTCCAGTTAAGTTGTAAACGTACACATGTCGATGGTATGGTTTGTCATTCGCTGTACCCCAGTAATATCTAAAGCATCGGGAGTGATTAACTGAACATAGTACGGTAGAAGTACATCAAGCTCCGCTCCTCATCGAAACCGTAAATCGAATTAACCACCCGTCTTCCGAATGTAAGTCTTTGTTTCTGCGATACATCTCTTCCGTACACAATGGACATGTGTTGATAAAAATCATTTCCTTCCGGCTCTGCGGATAGAATGAGGTAATTCGCTCCATTGTTAATGATAGTCGGCATTTTTACTTCCAACCAACCCCCATCTTGTCGGGAGGTGTACATCTAAAAATAAAGCAGTTATCAGCATTTACTCGCGAAGAAGTCGTAAGTACTTCATAACAGAACTGATTGAGAATGTTACATCCAAACACCGCAGCCACATTTTGTAGCCTATTTAAAGAAACTGCCACGACGTTGGTGTCATTCGCCCATGCCACATCTTGAAGTATATAATCTGAACTGACCACATGAGTTGGTATAATTTCCCGAAGCTCCGATACCTTACTGGACGGGTCCTCTAAGTTGACATATTTAACTTTGACAGTTGGATTGTTAGTGCCCACCTAAAAATCCTTCGTCTTCATAGTGTCACACATCAACAGTTACCTTGGGATACTTCAGCGACACTACTGTCGGATACAGATCTTTAATGTCTCCCGGAGTGCCGTAAACCATATAGTGATAATCCAACACTCTCTGATCATCAAAACTGCCGAATGCCAAGTACTTTCCGTTGGGAGAAAACCAAAGCGCCGATCCTGATCCCAATACCTCCTCTGTACTCACAAAACAAAAACTAATTACGTAATTCTTTGAACGATAATAATTTACCTTCATAGACCCAATCTGGAACGCCATTGAAGATAATTCCAGTAGCTCCATCTTTTGTGATCTGCCTTGGTTTAGGAATGTCACTAATTGTGGCAACGTAATAAATATTGTTTTCGAAGATGTACACTAAACCAATTCCTTGCGGTGCCCACTGTGCTGTTTGTAGATGTTTCTTGTTGTGTAAAACGTGAAATTCTCTGTAAATGCAAATTCTAATCAGTTTCTTATTATGATGCTATTGAACTGCGTCGTAACCAGTTAATCGCATGAGAAAGGATACTGGAGACAGTCGGACGGACGATAAGTCGATATCACAATTTTTGTCTTACTAACCTATCATAGCACATTTTATATCTGTGATACGCGGGCATAAAATACCACTTTATGCCCTAGGGCATTAAGTATCACCATAGTAACTTATTTATACTTAATGACAAAACAGACAAATATTTGCAGGTCATTGAAAATTAGAAACGTCAATTAATTGTCAATACCTACTAAATCCCAAGATTGGCCTTATTTCGTATAGTTTCTGGAACTTCTTGCTCATTCACGATGAGAATTATTTAAAATTACGTTTGGATGGATGGTTTCAATCATATTAACAAATTCGAACCACGCATACTCGATCAAACATAATGAATTATTTTGTAAACGAATTTTGACGAAGAAAACTATTTGCAAAACATAAAATTGTGTATGTACCACGGGCATAAACTGATGTTTATACTCTCGGGCGACTAAAAAGCTCTCGGGCCATATGCCCTCGAGCTTTTTAACTCGTCGCCCTCGAGAATATAAACATCACTATTATGCCCTTAATACATAAATAACTATTACGATTACCAAAACAGCTGAATCAGAATTACTGATAGTGATACCATAACGCAACGTAAGAGGCGCTGACTAAGCGCTCTTGGAATCTGGTAGGTTTTGATTAATGGTTCTTACACGCGCGTGATTAGTTATGTAGGCGCAGTCTATTGATTAATGATTAAAGATCGCCGATATAATCTTTTATCACAATTTGGGGGGAGGGGGGTGTTAGGAAAGTAGGGACGAGTCCAGGATCAATTTTTGGAGAAGACATTAGCTGTCAATCATCATTTACGCAGGTAAAGTAATAAGTTTAAAATTTAAAAGCAATATTGCGCAATACCCCCTATCGCGGAAAATCTGACCAGGGAATATAAAACCAACAAATCTCTACATTAAAAAAGGACTTATTTAATTAAACGACGGTATCGTAAGTCATCCGCTGTAAATAACTTTGTGTGAAATTAAAACGTTTAAAATGGGCTCTGCCATTTGGATTACGCATTGAGAACTCCTTGGGATTTTGCAAACATTTAAACCTCTCCGCTATGAGCCAGGATTTAAAGTGAGCAAATTTTGGTTTCATTCGCCGAATCCTAAATAGAGGCGATCCAGGTTTCCAAGGTTGGACGACTCAAGGGGTAGTTTTAGATACCGTATAAATAAGGTAAAGCGTAAATGTTTATTGTATTCTGTATGGACCACTTTACTTTAAGGATCTTGACCCGTGGTAGTGTTGGCGTTGAGGCAGTAATTGAAAATACCCTTTAAAGACAAGATCTGTACCTGTTTTCTTTCACTGTAATCAATATTCATGTACGAACTCTGTTAGAGGAAGGTAAAATAAATTTTTCATTTACAATCAATATTAAGTACCGGTAATTTTCTAACTGAGTTAAATATATGTATTTTAAGTTTTTAAGTTGTGTGCGGAAAAAATGGCAGATATTCCGTATTTTTCTATTGTTCATTTGATGAATTATTTTATTTAGCATAGTAAAATAGAACGGAGGCACATACAATATCGTTGTAAAATTTTGGATATCAATGAACATAACAAATTGAAAGAAAGAAAAGAAAATTGGCAACGGCTAACCAGGGGAAACGGATCTTCCGGTGAAACAACCACCGGGTTTCACAAAGCTCATACTCGTATAATTTGGGGCGCCAGGCGTGTACAAGTCACGGCAAGTTGCGGTAGTTGCGAGAACATCTGCTAATCGATACTTACATGCAATGTAATAGATCAGTTCCAGCTAATCGACAGGTAGCACTCTTCAATTCGAAAGCGAGTGTTTGCATTTCATCCAGAACTCGGTACCTCTTTAATACGCTCATCCCAATGCTTGTAACTTACAAAGAAAAATATAGGTATCCAAAGACTACAATGTCGAAATCAGACCTAATTGCAATGAATTCAAATTTACGTATTCCATTAATAAATGGGTTTCGGATTGCGATATAGGTAAAACAAACATAGGTAATTAAATTAACACTTATGGCATAACCTATGTAAAAGAAACGTATTAACAAAAAGGAATTTTATGAAAATAACTTTACCTAAAGAGGATATCATTTTCTAAATTTTGCTAAGGAAATTGTATCAAAGTATTTTAGTGAAGTCGAGGTAGCCGTGGATGTACTTTGGGTAAAAATCTAACATTTCCGTAAAACTTAATAAGGCGGTCAGGGATTTCTTCACCCTGAAATGTAACCCCTGTTACGTAGTATCGTCTAAAATCGTCACAATTCAGAAATGATATATTACTCTCGCCAGGAAAGATTGCCGGTCACAACACACCTTATGTCAATCTACAATCTATGTGCAAGCGATTTCCGGAATAGGATCGTGCCAATGTTGAACGAAAAGTCTTTTCGTTCAACAATCAACATTGACACGATACGTACTCATCAACATCTTGAGGCGCAGTTCAACATATTTTTGTTCTTCCACTGAACCTCAGTTAGAAAAGTAGACATAATATCAGAAAAAAAAGATATCGAGATATAACAAAAAAAAACGTAAACACAATTAAGTGTCTATCATTACTCCTCGTTTATCGACTGTTAGTGAGTGAATTTACCGACAGTTATAAAGCAATAACGGTCCTTAATTAATTTCACAACTTTTTAAAATGTCACCATATTATTTTGATCCGCCCAATGAAAGTTTACCAGTTTACCTATGTTGAGCAATTTATATAATTAATTTTACATACCGGATATTTAAAGGTTAAAGTCGGTATAAATAAACTTTCTCGCGAAAATTTTAATAACTGTCATAAACTGACAAAACGCAAAAGTAATTGTTATAACAAAACTAGTCAGGAATTTATTACCATATTCCCACCTATTTATTCACTGAGGTACATTTACTCTGCACGCTCGGGTACAAACATACAGTAATTACAATCCTTGACGTAAATTAACGTAAAAACCAAGGTGACACTTACTTGTTCTCAATGTCGTATACTGCATACTGAGCAGTTCTCGAGTGTCGATAGATCTGCAGACGGAAATTCATGTTTTAGTACCTAAGTGAAAATTGTGCCAGTAATCTCTTACGACTTACCGCCTTTGCATTGTATTTAATTAAAGCATATTTTAAATTGCTGGTTAAAGATATCGAACTACCTCGGTATTCTTTCTAAAATGTTTCCTAGTGTTTTTTCTGATGCACTTAACGAATCTACTCACTATCAGTTCGCCGTTTATTAATATTTTTGCTTCATTGCTCTTGACGTCGACATTATGAATGTTACTATCCCAATCCTTAACGATAAAATCAGTATCTGGAAACATGAATTGCGAAAAAGGCACTAAACCGCTTGTATACATACCAGAAACCCAAGTTCCGTTCCATCCCTTATCTTTAAAAAGCCCCTCCAAATAATCGTCTAATCCGTACGCCTCCAAAGTTTGATTTTTAATCTCTTCCAAAGACGTACCTTTGTCTACCACGGAAAATAGCAAAAGTAGCACTACGATCTGTAACATTTCATTTAAAGATTTGTACTTGATTAAATTTGTCTCTTACCTTTGAAACCATTATACAGGGCGTTAAAAATCATCGACTGCCGTTGTAAATAAGCAGTTCCACGACCGTTTTTAGAATAATTCACGTTATGATCATTATACAAATTTCAATGTCACTACATAGTTTCGCCACAAAGGTGGGATTAACCTATCGACTGACTGTAGCAGTAGCTATGCTATAGGTAGGTACTTGAAATATTCAAAATTTTTGACCTACTTCCCTACCTAGCTATCATACATTTTTGTTTTCTAAAATGTAAATGGGTGGTAAAGGATAGACATTGTCTTTAAAAATCCAAGCAAGAGAACTGAACTTGGCCCTGATGCATATGCACAGTTAATTAACTTTTATCCTTTTTATTATTTACAAAGTCGCGCTAATATGTGCAAATACACCGTGTACATAAAGTCCGGGAACACTTTGACTTATTGCACAAGTAGGTACTGACAGTTTTACAGATATACAGGGCGTTACATGACCGTATGTAAAAAAAAATGGTGATAGAGGGGATCAAGACAAGCACTTTTTCCAAATAAACAGAGGGTCCAACGTGTTTCGTTTGGGAGTCACTACCAAAGAAGTGGTGAAATTTGTATGTCATCTTTAATTTTTTTCTCAGCAACCCTAAGAGTTACAAAGATGGGTGGCACGTCTTCGAATAGATTTTCGGGTATGCCCTATCCGATTTGGAATTTTTTTTTAAATTCCTACTTACTTGGGGGCGCGAAATTCTGATTTCGACGACAGTTGGTATCTGGGGGTTATTGAACGTGAAAATCACGAATCTGGAATTAGCTTTTGAAAATTCGAAAAAAAAGTTCCACCGCGATTCTTGGCCGAACAACGAAAAAACGATAAAAAACTGTAGGAACGTTTTTAGGAAAATTGGTAAAAAAATATCTCGAAGAAAATTTTCGAACAAAATTTGTAGAAAAAATTCAGAAAAAATGTGTTTTTAGAATTATTTAATAATAATAATAATATTTATTGTGCGAGCATCCATAAATTGCAGTTACGCTTGTCAAGTGTATAATAATGTCTTTTAATGTTTCTTTTTGTAGATAATTTTTCATGAAAATTCCCTAAAAATTTTAAAACAATTTTTTTGTATTTGTTCTTGTGGATCGCACTACAGTGTAGTAGAACACAGTTAAAGGTAACACGGAGTATGGAAACGGAGCACAACTTTTTTTAAAGACGTTCTTCTTACGCACACATCCGACGACTTTGACCTTTTAGATGATTGTAGTATCGAGGGTAGCGCCTTCTGTTCGACGTTCACCGCAAGAGTTAACGGCGAATACGGATGCGTTTCCGGGAACTTCTTTTACTACTTGGGATATAAAAGAAACAAACTCTTGGGTACAATTTGAGAACAATTTTTGTCTCCAAAGCCATTTTTTAATTTTTCATATTTTTCTAAAAAAATTTCAGAAAGTTCCCAATAAAAATTTTTAAAAAAACTGGATAAAATTTAAGCAGTAAAACAATTTGTCTTACATTTTCGTACAATTTGAAATTCTATTTTTTTAGGTTCTTCAAAAAAATTTAAGAAAACATTTCAGACATTTTAAAGAAAAATCGAAAAACAATTTTATAGAAAAAACGATGAATCTAAAAAAGAAGAAACATGTTTAGAATACATTGAGAAAAAATTGCAAACATGGTTTTGGAGAAAAATTTTATCCAAAACTTAAAAAATAATTAAAAGCGTTTTTTTTTAATTTCAGAAAAAAAGAATAGTTCTAGAACAAAAATTTTGTAATTTTCTCTGGGATTATTTTCTAAAATTTTTTTGCAACATTTTTTGCTAAAATTTTTCTTAAATTTAATTTTTTTCTATTTTCTAAAAGATTTTCTAAAATGTTATTAACTAATGTATATTAGGCATATGTAGTGAAAAGAAAAATAACGGACCGGATTTTTGAAAACAATTTTGGAGCGCCGAATTGAACTTTTTGTTCAAATAGTAACGCAAAATTTTTATTTCTTTGTTTGAAACGTCTTCATAACAAAGAAACACCATAAATACAAGTAAGGCAACATGTACCACAAAGACAGGTCCACTGAATAAAGTTACACGTCCTAGCACAGTTAAAAAACACAAAACTCCTTCTTCACATAAACATACCACGTTATCACAACCCACTCGTATACAACCCAAACGCAAAGCCAAAGAAACACTTACACAATAAACTCTATTTAATAAAAGTACAGGAATTATTATAATGATATTTTTGTTTTGTTTTCTTCTTTCCTGATAGCGTTGACTATTGTGGCCATTAATAGCTATGTTGGTAAGTATGAATTACATACTATCCCTAGATTTCCAATGTGAGTGTGCGAATATTTATTTTATTTTTTAATTTTTATTTTTCTTTAGAACCCTACATAACTGCACTAGACAGACGCAGACACTAATCGTTACTTGATTTTAATCCGTGCGATTAGTTAACCAGGCTAGACCTGAGTTCTCACAAGAAACACCGACAATAATAATAATAATATGATTTAAGGCCAACAGGATCAAATTCCAATTATAGGACAATTACTAATCTAAGAAAGCACAATAACTAAATATACTAATATCTTAACCGCTAACCTAATAAAAACCAAATTAAATGATATTAAACTTAAACAAGATTAAAAATAAGATTAAAAATATTACATCAATGTTTTAAGATCAGATACTGAGCAAGTGTTAATGTCACACATATTAGCAATTTTGTTAAAGTTGCTTACCATAACAAATATTGGTGATTTACAAAGTAAGTTTGTATTGGCCTTAGCACAATTGAAAGTATATACATTACGAGCCGAAGAACGTGGCACATGGAACCGAATGAGGGAAAGAAGAGATGAACAATCTAGGTTAGTGTGTATACAAATTGAAGAGAAAGTTAAGGCTTGACAGAGTTCTGCGAACTTCTAAGGAATGTACCTGAAATCGAGATAACAGTAGTTGATGATCAGTACCAATTGCGGGATAAACTCTGTCCAATTTAAACGATAAAAACTTCAGAAACTTACGCTGCACTGCTTCCAGGGTTGTTTTATGGTAGTCATAGTAAGGACACCAAATAAGAGAACCATACTCTAGTTTGGATCGCACATAAGCAGCATCTAGAGATTTGATAGCAAAAATATTGGAAAAATCACGACAATTTCTGATAATAAAGCCAAGCATTTTTAAAGCAGAAGCAATAGTCACCAATATATGTTCCGAAAAGGAAAGTTTAAGATCAAATTTTTTTTCTGTGTACAGCCATTGATTATATACTACGAACGTATATAATCAATGGTACAGCCTACAAAAATTATGCTAGGTTTTATTACAAAAAAAAACGGATAAAAACAATGTCAACGTTAAAAAACGCAAATATTTTTTTTAGCCACAACTAAATTAATTCTATTGGCCTAAAGTCCTTAGTCTTTTATTTTCTTACATTCATCGAAGGTTCCAAAAAGGTATACTATAATACTATGAGTTTGTATCATTTAATAACTGATCAGGGACTTTATCAATGTTGGTTGGTCTACAAAATTACAGTGTTTGGGTTGCTGTTATCATTTTCTACTTTAAGGGCGCGCTATCAGTATTGTGTGTTGCCTATCTCACAATAGCTTTCTTATGGGAAACATGCCTAACGGAATTCATACCGTTTTTAAAAAATATACATTTTTTTTCGGAAATGTTTGTTATTTCTTGTTCTTAAATGTATGTAAATTATGAGTGAACGGTTTATATTGCATTAAAACTCATAGCTCATTCTCTGAAAGTGTATAAAGTAGACGTTCGATTACAATGGCAACCTTTTGTGTATAATTCAAAGGTCAAAGAAGTTTTTGAAATATAAATTGTTTCTCCAGATTCTTGAACATATAAGGAATAAAACGTGATGTAAAAATGGATAATATGTGGTTTCTAAAGCACAAACGGTATGAACTCCGTACACTTGAAAAATAACTCGTAAAACAATTATAGAAAAGAAATCTGTGCTCAGTGTAGTTCAACGTGTATCCACTAAGATGGCTACGGTATACTATTCTTACAAAGCGGGAAATTTAAACTGGAGTACTTATTGGAATGTATGAATGTATCTATTTTTTAGCAGTATAACTTATTCCTTTATTGGCTTTGTTGGTTATTAATGCAGATAAAATGTATCCAGCAAAAAACCGTACCATAAGTAGGAATTACACTGGTTAACGTTACCTGCATTCAAAATTTGGGTTAAGAAACTGGCAAAAGAAGTATTTATAAACGTTGAGTTTAGGATCATGGGATTTTTCACTCTACGTTATAATTAATTAATATAAAAATTTCAGAGCTTACAACAAAAAGAGGTTATGTGGGATGGTGTTTCTGAATTGATAATACAGTGTTAATACTGCTTACGTTTACCAGACGAAGCGCTACTTATGGGCAAGAATACTCTCGCCCAAGTTGCTATCTAATAGCACTGTCGACTTGTACGATGGTATTTACACCTCGGAAGTGCTATCAGACAACTCTGCAAGAAATCAGTAACTGAAGATTATATATTTATTCGATAATAAATGTACACGTCACTTACAACTAAATTTAAGCACTATTAATAATAACGAAACCCCACCGATTGGATGCCATCTTGGTTCCCATAATTTGAATGAACTACATACTATCGGCATTGAATAATTCAATCGTTGAGTGAAGGATCTCAATGTTATCGGTATTATATCAAAATATGATTTCACACCCAAACAAATAACATTCAATTATGAGTTAGTATTGCTGACTTGCAAATCTGGTTTTCCTAAAAATATTGCGTGGATTGTCCTTTGTGATCATAAAGGCTGAGTATTCCTTAAGGCCGATTCACATTATTATCGGTCAGGTTACGGTCAGAACATGAACAGTACAGAAATACACGGTTACAATAATTGACCGCATCGTGTTCTGACCATGATGTGACCGATGGCCTTATATATAAACGCACTGCAATGACATCGTTCGGTAAAATGATAATCGGAAAAAATGTACTCGGTGTCGGAAGTCAATCTTCGGAAATGTGTACAGTCGAAGGATAGCCTAAAACAATCCATTAATAGAACTATATTAAAATAAAGAACCTCAACTTTACTTACCTAGGTAGGTACTGGTTTTTTTTGTTATTTTGCAGTTAATAGAAAATCAGGTAAACATAATCCATAACATAACCCAACTTTGAATGGCATTTCAGGAATTACAATTACTATAAGCATTCAATTGAATTACTGAACAAAACCGCATATTATGGTAAATAAGTATTTTTAGGTAGAATTTATTTCGCAAGATCACTAAATTCCCTTTTTAGAGGTACGGAACGATATTTACAGTTACAGGTGGTAACCAAAGATAAGCAAAATACTATTTTTAATTTTATCTCAAGACGAATGTATGCGAGTGTCAGCAACCTAACGAAGTACAAATAGGGAATAGGGATCGCGGATTCGGGATGGCAGCACAAAGCAACGAATATTTCAAAAATACTTCTTAGTTCACTTTTCTTACACCATGGCGTGCAAACGCACCCTTAAATTATAACAACAACCGTTATGATACAAACTTATAGCAATGAGTAATTAAATTTCACTCAACGCTTATAGTCTACCTTTTTGGATCCTTCGACGAATGTAAATTAATTATAATTATGAATTACGATTATTAATTAAAATATTTTGTCTTGTGATATTAAAATAAAATCTAAAATAAATAGAAAAACAAAATAAAAAAAAAAGACAACGGCACGCGGTGTTCCCAAGCGGTCACCCATCCAAGTACTGACCGCGCCCGACGTTGCTTAACTTCGGTGATCGGACGAGAACCGGTGTTTTCAACGTGGTATGGCCGTTGTCGGCAATATTAGTGTTCTAAGAGAAACAGTTGCAGAATCTTTTCTTAAAAAAAAGAGCACGCGACAAATATTATAAATGTGCCCTGAATTTAGAGAATTTGCCCGCCAATTTGGTCTTTGGACACTCTTAAAAGATTGTTAAACTTGTCTTATTGTACCATGGTTAAACTGTCATTTTGGCATATTTGGCGTCAAGGTCGTAAAGGGAAAATGCGCCCTCCTGTATTCTCGGTGGCAACGGCCCGGAAAAGTGCACAAGTGGGTAAAGTAGCAACGAAAGCCAGGATTTTAAGTTTTGATACCTGCTTGAGGTTCGGAATCACCTTTTCCCTACAATCGTTTAAGAATTAATCAAATCGCGTGCGCAAAATGATCAAAAGGTCAATATAAATGTAGAAAATAGTTATTTCGCGCACGGGACAAAGTTGAACTTAAACAGCAATTTAATTAACAATCGGTTCAGTTGTAGAAAAAATATTGTATATAACGCTAGCGCGAAGTTATTTCGTGCATTTGACTGATATTTTAACTCGGCTTCGCCTCGTCAAAATACCTACCTTCAGTCTCAATGCGCGAAATTGAACTTCGCGCTCTTGTTATATAAATAACTATTTTTCACTGTTGACGATTTCGCGCACGTTGTCAAGAGCAACCTTACTTATATTAATTAACCGATTAAAAATCTAGTACTTCGCGTTTCGAAATCCGTCAGAAAATGACAGGTTTTTTTGACAGTTGTAGAAAAACGTTTTTTTAAGTATTTGGTTTGCGCTAGGAAGCTGTTCTGTAGTTTCTTTGGGAGTGTCGAAAATAAGGTTAATATCACAGATTTATTAAATCTGTGATAATATCTTCCCCGAATCGGAACATTCCAAACCGGCAACTGCCAAACCGGTAAAGCACGAATTGTCGCCGCACCAAGCCGGCGACATGCTAAGCCGACGTTCGGTCATACCGGCGCTCGGTAATGCCGGCGCTTGTCAAGCTGGCACTCGGTCATACCGGCGCTTGTCAAGCCGGCGCTCAGTCATGCCGGCGCTTGTTCAGTCGATGCGATCTGCAAATTATGTAATGCACATTTGGAATGATGGCCATAATATGAATATGTCGATGGAATTCTCAAATGATTTTAGGTGGGGTGTTGGGGGGGGGGGTTGTTATTACGAGTGGTCAAACAAGAGGAATCAGATTAACTAGGCAATATAACTTTTCTGGCATTGATCGAACTACTCTGAGTTTTATTACCTAATCCAAATCCACACAAATAGAAATGCATCCGATGGAACGAGCGCCGGTTGATCGGGTACCGGCAAGGCGTAGCGCCGGTTGATCAGTCGCCGATTTGACCGAGCACCGCGGTACGTTCGGCGCGCTTTGGTATTGCACCGGCTAATCATCGCCGGTTTGGTCATTGCCGGTTAGGGAATCGCCGATTAGTAGTGTACCGTCCCCGAACTTCTCTAGTAAACTGGATTTAATTTTTTTTGAATCCATCTACAATTCACCCTTGCTGCGCGACTCTCTAATTCACCAAGTGAAAATTGTTATTATTCAGTATTCTCAAAAAATGAATAAATATCTTTGCCGTCTTCACTGTGGGAATCGGCCTATAGTCTTTCATACACTCGGTAGAGATGCAGAAATATCTTCCTATGTTTTCCCCCCACTCCATTCTAAGGTTAAAAGTTTGACAAATTCCCGAAAAATGCGATTTCCGTATTTTTTTAAAAAGTGCGTCTCCTTTTAATTACCAGCTCAGAATTTAAAAACGGAAATTATAGAAAATTTAAGAGTTAAGACTCGAACTTGTAGCTAAAATCATAGTGTAAGATCAAGGAGTACCCATCCCATAGTTACTCTTTGCTAAAATGCACGGAAGCGAAAATCTGAAGAGGACGCTGATTATGTTTTCAATTTTGAATATGGCGGCGGGCGCGGCAGGGGAGAAATTACGCATTTTGCATATTTAACACTTCCTAACCATTCTAGGCAACATATCAAGAATTTAGAACTACTGGACCGTTTGTAAGGTAAAAGTCCTTTATTCACTGGATTATTACAAGTACAAAAAGTTTTAAATGTGTTAGATGTACTCGGGCTTATACGAATAAAATTCCTCAAAATTATTTTTAATTTCCTCAAATCTTCAAAACTTTTCCTCAAATTTGAAGAATTTTTCTTATGATTGGCAACATTGCTCAAGCGTTACCTTTCCCGTTTGCAGTGAATCAACTTTTCGCTATAACCTTAAAGTTTTTCCAAAATAAAGCAATAAGTGTAATAGTTCGTGCATAAAAAAGGTTTATATCTGCCATTTGTGTGCAATTATGACCGATAGTGACGATATAAAAATTGTCGTAATAAGTGACGAAGAATTTAAAATTGTCGTAAACGCAGAAGATGAGAATCTTATTAAATATGTTTACGATTTAAGCAAAGAAATGAGTTAAAGTGTTCAACATTCTTGCAAATCTCTTCTTGTAAAGGTACACTTGTAGATATCGAAGGTGCACATGGGGTTATAGGGAACGAACTCGAACTTATCGCGTTGGTTCGCAATTGCAATTTCCTCTATGACAAAACTCTTTCGGATTTTAAGGATATTCGTAAAAAGAATGTCGCATGGAGTGCTATCGCAAACGTCCTTCACTGTACAGGTAGCCTGTGTGTTTATACTTGGTCAAATGCTTGTTAAAAAAGTTATTTAAGTGGACGAGGTGAAGCGGAGATGGCACAGTCTAAGAGAAGCCTATAATAGATATAAAAAAGACGCAGAACTGGGAGATGCTAACAGGGATTCAATTCAGTGGGAATTTTACGAAGACATGAAATTCATAGATCCTTTCATTTATCCGAGATGGTACGTATATCACTAAAAATATAGATATTGTGTTCTCACATTTTTTTTAGCACATTTGGTACACTTGTCAGCGATAATGAAGATGAAAACAATGATGGTAAGGAAAGGTGCTAGTAGTTAGAGCCCTTACTGGGCAGAGGATGCCTCACAATCTTAAACAGAGAACTCCACCTTCCCCTTGATTTCCTTGTGACAAAGTTACTTAGCTCAAACGAATCTTATCAAGAATCTAATTCTTGGGTCAGTCAAAGTTGTACAATATTTTCCTCAAAAATACATTACCTGCAGCCCTGGTTACATATTCCAGTGGGTAATTTTATTAGCTTCCTCCCTGTGCTCTAGCACCTGTCACGAATTGATCAGTACCTCCCGAAAGGTCATATCACGGACTATTTATGTGTACAAAGGAAAATCAGTTAATGTTCTTATAAATAAGAAACTTATAGCGTTTTCGATTGGCAAATCTCGTGCTGCACGAGTGCAATTTTCACGTTCTATTGGTAATTTTAGGGCAATTTTCTGTGTTCCATTGGCAAATGTGATGCAACAATTACGCACTCAGTACAAATTTCGACGCACGAGGTCCGAGAGCTCGTGGAGCTGCTAGTTAACAAATTTTCAAAACAAACGTGCGACAATTTGAATTTGTTTCTTGCGTTGGGAGAGTTTTTTGTCTTCATCTAGCGATAGCGAAGATGATGAACTAGCAATAACTTCTATTTTACAAAAAGTTGCACTTACTCATTAAACTGAACGCCAAAAATTGGTCCTTTACAGGGATTTCAAATTTATATTCCTCATCGTTTATCATAAATAATACTGAAATTGTTTGTCATTTTTTAGAATAGAGATTTGTCGATTACCTAAATCTAAAATGAGGTTATGGACAAATGACAACCAATATTTACGAATATTTATGTTCCATTGAGAGCAATTTTCATATGGATTTCTTCAGTTTCTCGTGCAACACTCGTGCAGTACGAGTTTTGCCAATCGAAAACGCTATTAGCATTGCGCCTTCTGCGCATGCGCACAGCTGATGTATAAAATATGCGAGATGTTTACCTTTACTAGAAGAATCTGGTTAGAATTTCAAAAAAATATCTGACATTGCGCATGCGCAAATTTATCGTCTAGATTTTTTTTACCAAAGTAAATATCTTAAAATCTGTACAGACGCACGGAGAAAGTGGTGATAATAGCGCCTTTCAATATGAGCTTCCTTAATTTAATTGTCTGTATCGGTGTTACTTTCCAAAGTCCAAGATTGTCTTTATTTCTCAAAGCTTGATTTTTTACAATCCTGACCAGAGCCATAAAATTTCTTTTACTGTTTGGCTTAGATTGTTTCATCAAATTCCAGTTTTTTGTAAGCATGTCCGACAATCTTTGGGAGCTCTAGGCACGATGGTCAAGTCTTAATTTTTTTGTGCCGATTCGATATCTGTTCTTTTAAAGGTCCACACACTGGTAATGTGTGGACCTTTAAAAGAGTGCCGTGAAGTCACTGAATTCTTTGTTTTTGGAATATGGCCAACAGTCATTTTATTTATTTTAAACTGTCTATACTTGTTAACTGAGTTCATGCTCAAAGGGTTAAAACCTCCTATATACCTTGGTGGGTTGATGATAATTCTGACAATGACAGTATAGCTTTTGATACGATATTTTGTTACTCCTAGGGGGAGAAACTGCAAATCATACATCTGAGGACATCCAATTTATTTTGTTGGTACAATCACGACCTATATTATATGATAAAAACCATCCACAATATAAAGCAAAGAAGGTGAAAGCAGAAGTGTGGAACGAAGTTGCCAAAGAGATCAATCTGACAGGTAAGTGATTTTAAGTACCTACTGTCTACTATAATAATCGATATCTCTTTAGCAAATGAATGTGAACAAAGATGGAAAAGTTTACGGGAACGCTATGGGAGAGAACGTAAATTGAGACACGTGGACCAGAACAGAAAGAAGTGGGTTTACTTCGATATATTAAATTTTTTAGACGGCCACATAAAAGCTCGCAGGTAGTTGCTTAAAAACTTTACCAATAAGAATGGCAGGTGGCTGTCACAAAGTAGTAGGTAAACATAGAACTGAAAATAGTCCTATATACAGTATGTCCTGTGGTCACTATTCCTATAACTGACCATTGTTCATTTTTTGAGAAACCTACCTAAACTTTAAATGCATCATTTAGTTTTCTTAAGTCGCTTGTGTGCAAGAGGCAAAGAGTGTACTTTCAAATTTGATTTTTCGATTTTAATAGCCCTTATGGACATTTCATGCCTTAATGAGAACACAACTCTACAAGATAAAAACATTTTTGTAAAACGAAGACACGTTCGCATATCTAAAACCTGTATGCTACTGTTTGAAGTATAGCTACCTGCCATTCTTATTTCTTCACCTGAAAAGAAATCTCACATTCGCATTTTCAGGCCTTCATCGTTTCGCTCAATTTTACCAAAAATTGATAACACAAACAACTTGGCAATAATTAGTCCCATGAACAGTCGTACCGTCTTGCTGAACATGTCGCCTTTACATACTGAACCGAGAGAAGAAAGTGTGGAGACGCACACCGATGTGGATCAAGTGGAATTTATTGATACTTCCAACACTACACATTCGCCAACAACGCACTATTCAAAGGAGGCAAATTCTGTTGAACAAAGTCGATCCATGCTAAATGATGAAGATGAGTTATTCGGACAATCCATATCGGCCGAATTGAGACGTATGCCCAGTGGAAAGAAAAAAATGAAAATTAAGGCCGAAATTTATAAAATTTTATATGAAAATGAAAGCGATTAGTAATTATTATAAGCATTTTTCTTTAAACTGTCTGTGTAAAGTATTATAAGAATAAAAAGGTTAGTGTATTGGTTTAGTAAATGGTTGTTAATGCAGAAAAATATAGGTTATACAGCCATAGTAAATTGTTGGGATCATTTACTTCAGCTGTTTTACAATAGCGGCGATTTATTATATAATTAGTTTACTATTGCCGGAAGGGCCTCGCTGTACTCGTAATCTGTTTCTATACCAGTAGGTACGGTACCTTATCGAGGAACCGCTTCATAAGAAAGTGGCGGACTACAATATTATTCGCGTTTGAAACTCGATCATAACAACCGAGATGGCAAAAATACTAACTCGATAATCAATTCTAGAATGTGATAGCAATTAACCCGAAAGAGGCAAAATAAAGAGTTATCTCTGTTGAGGATTGATCGTTGATATCGAATCTCGTTCACCCATTTCCACAGCGCGGTAAAATTGCGTTGTTAAATTCCAACAATAGATGGAGCCATCTACTCAAAAGATACGTGAACAATATTTATGGAGATAAACCGTTACAACCAATACAAAGGGCTGAAGAGGACACAAGTCCTGAGCAGTCCGCCATTCATCTAATATTAACAATTAATGTATCATATACCTGTAAGATGTTAATAAACGTATTTTGATTGATTGATTGATTCAAAGACCAGGCGGTTTTTTATATCGTCGCTTAACTGTACTCAAATAATATGTATGTCATATTGTACCTATATGCATTCACGGGGAAGATTATTCAGTGTGATATATATGCTGCTCTGTACGATTCGAAAAGCTATTCCGTGAACGAAGTACCTAAAGGCGGCTCCACACGCAACGGAAAAACCGAAGGCATGCCTCGGGGCGACGGGCCTTGAGGAGAACCTAAATTATAGGGGGTCTCCACACACTACGGAATATACGAAGGCCAGCCTTAAGGCACGCCAGTTTCGCGCAAAAATGACGTCGACAGATAACGTTCTTCCTGTTGTTGGATTATTGTTAGCTGTCGATAGTAATAAAAAAAGAGTGAAGCGAAAGTTCTGGACTAAAGACTGGTTACAGAAAAGGAAATGTTACTTCCATGTAAATTTATTAAAAGACCTGAGGTTCAGTCCGAAAGATAGGCACAATTATTTGCGGATGGAACACTTAAGGCTCTTATCATTGGTGACGTCGATCATTCACAAAAAGGACACCATAATGAGGACCGCAATTACACCTCGTGAAACATTACGATTTCTGGCTATAAATTCCTCTTGTTTTTGCTTTGCACGGGCCATGACTATATGAAAACTTGATGCAACGGACCTCTTTTCACACAAAACTACACCGTGTGTCAATATGACATTAAACAAAATATATATTTCATATGGAAACTCATATTTCTTCTTAAAAATTGTGTAATTTTAAATGTGTCTATGGCCAGGTTTGGTGGTTGACACACGGTATACGTATAGGGTATAACGGAATCGCCTCAAGGCCTACCTCCCACCCATCCACACAATACGATCGACCTTGGGGCGCCATAAAAGAAGAAGCAAATCGAATGAGATTTTGTATTGAAATTTCCGGCCTCCAGGCGTCAGATGCGCAGGAAAACCTCAACAGAATTCTCCATACACACATAGAGGTTTTCCTTGAGGTCTTGCGCCTGGAGGCATGCCTTCGGTTTTTCCGTTGCGTGTGGAGCCGCCTTAACACAGTCTGATCAAAGAGTAACCATAATCTGATCCTTCGCTCTGTATCTGTTACGTTCTTGATCGTGGAGCTTAAGCTATACAAGAAAGAGGGTCCTCTTATTAACATTTCTCCTATTTATGTGATTTGTTTGTGCGATATAAACACAACATAAATGCTGGCATTTGTCACAAATTAATATATTGCAGTCGATATACTTGGATGCTTTTGACGTGTTCTTTTTTTTGTACATGCAATTTACCAATTTACGAGTTGTTTTGTCGAAATTAATCGTAGATTTCTTTAATGTGTTTTTGTACTGAATTGGTCGATCATGTTTTCCACTTGCATTTATGACGCCTCTTATGTCTCGTTCTTGTTGATTTACTGCATTTGATGGATACCTGAACTTTATTGTACAATTTGAGATGTTTGATTTGTGTATTTTTTCTCTTTTGCATTTTGTTGTCGTAATTGATTTATCTCATGTATTTGTGTGGGTTATGCCAGGTTTTTTTGTCCATAAAAGGTTTTCCTTGCGTTGTGTGCTTAATATATTTATTTGTTCTTGTCTTTTCTTACCCACAAAATTCTGCATTTTATTAAATTCCTTTCCCGATTATGTCTCATGTACCAACACATAAAAGAACCGATTACATAACGTAAGAGTTCGTGCGTGCCATCCATATTGGGTCGACTGCTATACCGAGATTCAAAAGTGCGGTGGCTCTGCTCCTAGTTTAGTCAGGTGGCATCACGTAACTGCGAGCATAGTGTACATTCTCTACTTCTTTTTGCGTCTATCGTATTTAAACGGAGATCTCACTTAAATTTTGTAAAACTTTAAACCAATAACTAGATACTCGACTTTTATTACTCTGGGAATGCATCTTTTGCCTATCAAAAGCTACTAGCAAGGCTTAGATCATACATACGATCTAATTGCTAGCAAGTACCTTTCACTAGTAAACATACAAAGCTGAATGAAGGGGTGCATATCGAGAATGTGTAGCATGTTTGTGGGTACTTATTATTAAACCTCCATCAACAATACAGAGGAATGCTGACCTGCTCCATAAAGCTCTTTCTCATCTCAGGCGTGCTGCGAATGATATGAATATGCAATTAACTTGTTTTTCGGAAGGGGTAAGGAAAATAGAGACATACAGTATAAGTGTGGCAAATAATCAATTGTAATTTATTGATGAATCTTCACTCTATTCTATTGTTCTACCTACTTTGTTTACACCATAACTAGTAGAGAGGGTGTAAATGATCTCAGTCTTATTCCATTTTGTCTTCCATCGTCATAAGTAGGTAGTGGTTTTGTTATACTCTATGAAAATTCAAACAAATATCTCATGTCATCACAAACAACTATCCATCTACCAGTCCTTTAATATCATGAATGAACAGGAAGATACTTATAGTGTGAACATTTTTTAATTTAATCATCACATACTGGAAGCCAAGACATTTGAGAATGAAAACAGCCTGTCTGCGTTTTTATAAGCTTAGTTTGAATTCAAGTACATGACCATGTATAATCCGCTCAAATCTTTTACTTCAAGGTAAACTGTGGATATTTTCCAGTTCCACTAGAAACAATAAAATCAACACTCAAATTAATCCTTCTATTATAAGACAACAAAACCACTACCAATACATCAAATGAATGGGGTATCTATTAAGACACCCACCATCTAAACGCTATGAGTTTTTGTATGCCTATTGAGATCATTAGCCCTAGAATACCTTTTATCACACAAGTTACACCCAAATGGTTTATCACCACTATGAATTAAAGAATGTTCTTTAAGATCTGCATTCGTTACGAATGATTTATTACATGATAAACACAAAAAGTTTTTTTCTCCATTGTGCCGTTTCATATGAACTACCAAGCAGCTCGACTGTGCGAAACCTTTGCTACAAATTTGACAGACGTACGGTCGCTCCCCGGTATGAGATCTTCGATGAACAATTAAAGTACTTGATCCGTTAAATCCTGCAACATAAATAAAGATTATGTAATTGTGCAGCACCAACAACAAACATTTATTTTTTTTGTATAATTTTAACAATAAATCTTGTTAAACTATTTACTACCCTTAAAAGAGATTTTATTTTTTCCATTTCAAAGATTTTGTCGCACCTACTCCAATTCGCGCTAGTCTGACAACTGACTTACCCAAGTAACATGTACAAAATTCAGTAAGTACAGTTACAATTTATTCAAGTTTCAAGGTGTCTCACAAGGAATTGGCACAATATAAAATGATAAAACCGTGTGTCCTGTTTTGGTTGAGACTGCAGCGCATCTCAGCTTTTTTATATTTTAGCCATGAAAATCAATGATTGTTCGAGTAATTGTTAATTGTTAATTTTGTTAAATAATCACTTGTATTTTGTTCATTTTAATTGTAAAAAAATTATGTGTTAAATGATTAAGTTTATTCTTTTGCAAAAAGTGTTACAAGAAGTTCCGTGATCGCTGCGTGAGCTAATTAATTTGAAGATAAGCACGTGTTATCGCTGAAGTAAACAGATGTGATTTTTTTCATGCAATAGTTTGATAAGCAGGAGATGGTTCGGAAAGTTCAAAAAGGAAATTATTTTAAATAGCGGAGGAAGGTGTGAATTGGTGCTTTTTTGGTGGTGGACGTTAATCATTGTTTTGCTTTTTTTTTGGTGAACGTTGAGACGTAACCGCTCATTGTTTTATGTGTGTTTGGCAGTTTTGCAGTTATCAAAGCTTTTTGAAAAAAACAGTGAAGTAGTCTTGTGTTTAATCGACCCCGATTACCACCCAGCAAATAACAGTTCCCATGCTAAATTTTATTGTGCATACCTAGAGTTCTGGCGTTCACATACAAAATTTCAATTTTTTAAGTTTTTCCTTTAAGTGCGAGGGTTGTCCAGAAAGACGTTTTGAAATAAAAAATTTTAAACTCTTGGGCTATTTATTAACACAAGCGCTATTCAAATTGAGGCACTTATCATAGCGTGGCATATGGTTTTGATTCCAACTTTGTATAAATCCCCCGCCTGAGATTTTAACCTGCACTGGGTAGCGCCGACATGAAGTTCGGCGTCCCTATCGAACCGCTGCGTTGCGAGCCAGGACTTCATCGCTGGGAAGAGATGGAAGTTTTGTTTTTAGACGACAACGCCCGCTCGCACACAGTCAACCGTACTGGATATCTCTTGGATGATTTCGGATCACCCTCCATAGAGCTTAGATCTAGTGCCAAGCGACTTTCACCTCTTCCCAGCAATTAAGACCTCGCTCGCAACACAGCACAAAGACAATGATGCCAAAATGTACATTGAAATCAAAACACTTGTACCACACTATGATAAGTGCCTCAATATGAATGGCGACTATGTTGAAAAATAGCCTAAGAGTGTAGTTTCCAAGTGTGTATAATAAAAGTTGTTTCTTACACTTTCTTAATTTTTTATTTCAAAACGTCTGTTACTTTCTGGATAGCCCGTGTATATCTCCTGCAGTTTATGAGATATTTTGCCCAAATTTGAAATGCAAATTACGGTGAAGTACCTACATATTTGGTCATGTCAATGGTAGTGCGAATCTACAGTGTTGTTTTTCAAGATTAATGTTCTATTTTCTACCCCTGGCCTTTTTTCGGTGCGCCACGGGTAGAGAGTGAAACAAGAATTTAATTAACTGATTTATTTACAAACTTTTTGGTCTCTTGTAATTTTTTTCGTATCTGGGACCACTAGCGAGTAAAAAAATAAAAATCAATTTTCCCTAGTTAGGTAGCTAAATCAAAGTATAGTTATTAAAATGGTCCAGTAGGCCCTGTCATTATTTGAATAATATCTTGTTTTTATTATTTTTGACAGTTGCCATTGAAAACTGTATTTTGTGTTTGCATATATGTTTATAGATTAAAGGTTAAAATTGTAAAGTATACGATAGTAACACCCTGTAGATCCGTAACAAACCGTTTATATGAATATATATCATATTTAGGAACATCCTAGTATACAGGGTGTTTGTGAATAAGTGCACATGAAATTTTATATTCACACTATTGCATAAAAACGGCGTCCCATACGAAAATAAAACACCCATATCTTGGAAAATGAAGTATTTGCGGACAAATGATATATAGCAAATTTTTTTTCAAGCATATCACCCCATGAAGTTCTTTACTAACACCCTGTATATTTGTTTCTGTTCTTTTTATTAACTTATGATATATTTATATTTACTTTTTCTTCATTGATAAACAAATATAGTTTCTTTGCTTTGTATTATAAAATATTGGCTGTATGCTGTTAGACAATAAAGTTTATTTATTTATTTATAATTCCGTGGTACTCCATGGTGTTATTTTGATATTATATTTCACGGTAATCTCTTGCTATCGAGCTTGCTATTCTTTTAAGGTTTTTACATGTGAATGTTAACAATCGAAAAGAATATTAAAAACACCAAATGACTACCACAGATTTAACTAAAACTAGCCATTTTTGATACAATGAAATTAGGTTCGGTGATTCTTGTATTTTTTCACACATAATTTTATTCACGTGTTACCCCTTCGACTATTCAACTCAACACAGTTACCAGCATTTCATGCTATACCTACCTTTATGGCATATATCACATATATGAGACTTTTCACCCGTATGTGTCCTCATATGCTTCGTCAATTCATTTGACTGACAAAAAGCCTTTTGACAGACACAGCAAACATATGGCTTTTCACCGGTATGCGTCCTTATGTGTGCGATTAAGTTAGAACTTGTTGAAAACGCCTTACTACACAAAGTGCACTGATGCGGCCGTTCGCCGGTATGTGTCCTCATATGCTTCTCTAAATCTTGAGCCTGACGACAACCCTTATCACACACAGTACATCTAAACGGCCTTTCGTCCGTATGCATCCTTAGATGTATTTTAAAATTGCCACTGTGAGAAAATGCCTTATTACACACTTTACACTTGTAAGGCATATCAGTTGAGTGGGTTTTCATATGCCTACTCAATTTGGTTGACGTTTGAAAAACCTTATTGCATGTCGAACACTGTTTCACCGAGTTGTCTTTCACCTCGCGTTTAATTTTCACATTACGTTTGATTTTGTCTTTGGGATCACATGTTACATTGTTTGTGCCATTGTGCAAACATGGTTCTTCTGGTTGTTGTTGAGTGATTGTCTGCATTTGAGGTAGTAACTGTAAGGGTGGAACCACAACTTGATTTTGTAGTTCGTTTGTTGGTGGTAGTTGCTGAACCGGCATCGTATATGAACCATTATATACTTGGACCTGTCCGAGAGCTGGTAATGTATAACCCGTAATTGGTAAATGGTTTTGTGATTGCACATTATAATTCAATTGCGTTAAAGGTTGCGATATGGAGTTAAGGCCATCAAATTTCTGTTCTTGAATGTCTAACAATGGTGCACATTCTATGTAGACACAATTTTGTGGGGCTTGTGGATGAGTAGTTTGAAATGTCATTGTATGTTGCTGAGGGGGTTGTTGCACTTGAGATTGTTGTTGTTGTTGCATTTGGGGCTGGTGCATTTGTTCTTGCTGTGGTTGAACTAGTGCAGGTTGCTCTTTGGTTTTTAATGGATCTAATAAATATTGCCGAAGCTTCGCGTCTGTTTTTTCACATTGTTTTTTAAACTGAAATGAAATATGCAACTTCGCCAAACACTTATTGCAGATTTGTCCTGGTAAACCATCGTTTTGCCATACCTGAAATTAGTTGTCACGTTTAAATAATCTATTTGGGAGACTACCTGCACTGAGGAACAAGCCATCATCTTTTTCGATACATTTACTTTAAAAATGGACATCATTATTCCTTCGTTCAAACAAACTCTACATACTTTTGAAAAATCTAACTCCATATCAAATATTTGTATTCGTATAACTATTATTGTTAATATTATAAGATTTTAAATATATAATTAACCTATTTTATTTACATTACAAGAAAATAAACATAGACACCAATAAACGCATTGCTCAATAGATGGTGGCACTATCGGCAAGACCTACACAAAACTATAAAGGTCAAGTTACACAATGCGGAAATCAGTGTCAGTGTTCTTTGAAATAAAGCTTGTCATAGTGGATGCGTTTTCGCACGAATCAAAAATTCGCCTATCTGCCACAACCATCTATATTTATTATTTAAATATATAAATAAATAAATTTAAATTATAGACGGCTGTGTATCTGCGCTTCCGCTTAGCACCACATAGCACCACACATAGTCTCGCACATAGCATAGCCCCCTACACCTAGTTTTATTCTATACGCGGGTTCTCTGCAAAGGACAGAGAATTCATCGAATCGAATCATATCATAAATACAAAGAATGGTTATTGTCTAAAGACGAGCACGAGACACGTACAAACTACAACATACTACAAACTACCTTTTTTATTTTTCATCCTAGGTCTGACGATGAATCGGTAGATTCGAAATCGATAACAGAATATTAATTAAATTATTTGAAAAATTCACTTTTTAATCTACAACCTTATAACACCAAAATTCAATATTGATTCAAAAAGATTCAAAAAATTATTTTAAAAAAATTTAAAAATCTTTTTGAAATTGTGTTTTTTAATCATTTGAACCTTCTTTTAATTCATTATATCTTTTTTAATTTTTTTTTTAACCACTTAAACCTTTTTTTGGTTATCGTCCCTAGTGCGTTATATTTCTGAAAAAAGAAATTGATGTAAGTACTATTTTTAGATTAAACTATATTATACTATACAGGGTGTTCCATTTTTTTTAAAAATGCGGTTAGATCCGATATCTTTTACATGACTCCTTATACTGATTTTGAAAATGACAGATTATTCAAGAATTATTACAAAGAAAGTGTTGTAAATTTTATGTATCTTTTAACTAAGAAGATATAGAGTTATTCTGAAATTGGCCATTTTTTATTTTCTTCCGTATCTCTTCAGCGAACAAAAATGTCCACCAGCAAAATTTCTTCGTAATCGATCCCCTCGTCTTCGAGGTATCGTGCTATAACAGACGGACCAGCGGACAGACACAGAAAAAGAACTAAAACAAAGATGTCCAGAAACATCAATCAAACGACCGTATTTCGATTAATGAGTTGGTTGTAATTAATTGATGTTTCTAATTAATTTGTTGATCTAAACCTTGTCAAAGAGTAAAGTATAAAGTATTCTTTGACCTTGTTAAAATCTTGGCGTATGAACGAAATAAAAATATGTCTTTGAGGACTACTTATGTACCTACTTATAAATGGATAATTTGGCAATTGCTGCGGTACACCTCTTGCTTTGCTTCTGCGTAAAACGTAGGTACTCAACTATCATAAATTCATAATTTAAAAATGGTCTTACACTTACATCAGTCTATTGAATTCCATATGAATGATGTAGTGCAGATATGCAGTCGAGGATTAAGGAAGAAAATGATCAATTCATAAATATTACATTTTTAACGGTTTTCATTTCACTAATAACACTCCATGATTCATAGGCAAGGTCATACGGGCAAAATCTCTTTCCTTTATGTTTGTTCTTAAAAAGGCAAGACTGCTTTTAATAAAGTCAGTTAAACCGTTCCAACGATTTGAAAAACACCTACATAAAAACCGTCGCTGAATAATTTCGTTTCCTTTTGATTTATTTATGTCGAGATAGGTTTGCCTATAATTTTTATTTCACTTGATAAGGAAATATATAAAGGAATAACTGTATAATATTAATTCATTATTATAGACCGAGATATAATGACAGTTTTTGTGATATGATTAGTAAACGCCTGTCAAAATAATTTTCTCTTTACATAGGTTATTACCTACTTATTAGAAATAGGTACCTAGCGTATAATCGTAGGTACCTATATCCAAATACACTAAGCTATATCATACGTCTATTTTTATGTAATTTTTCAAATTTTGACAATGCCTACAACAAATAAAAGTGTATTAAGTACCTACCTAGGATAAAAATTAACTCCATATGTAGAAATTATTGATAAATTTCATAACGAAGAAAAAAAAATACACTATACATATTGAGGAAAACTGGAAATTGACATGAAACAAGCTAAATTGTGCACAACTCTTGTGCAGATAAAGCGCATTTTTTTTAACCGAAATAGCTTTTCTTTTGACATAACCAATGGATATATTTCTGGCAGACGTCTCAATCGCCCTTTGTGAGTACCCTCTTCCGACAATCCGTTCTTGAGGTATAAGGGAATATATCCGATCACGATAAGAGGTCGAGGAGCAGGGCTATGGTTGGTAGAAATTAAGTCCTTTCGTCGAGACCTTTCATTAGAGTACCATGAAGGATAAAACTAATTCCACACCCTCCCCCCCTCCATCCCGTACTTTGATAAGAGGACAGAAAGAAGGGCAGTAAGTGGTAGAAAACGGTTCCTTTCTTTAAGACCTTTAATTAGGATACAATGAGAGATAAAATTAATTCCCCCCCCCCCCCCAGGCTCCGTCTCGCTCGCTGATCTCGAAAAAGAGTCGCACGGGAAAGTTATAGTTTGTACAAACCAATTTATTTCGATGAGCCCTTTCATTAGAATACCATGAAAGGTAGAACATATGTTCTACCCCCCCCCCCCCCCACCACCACCACCCACTTAAAGGCATGCGTATGCAAAATCTGAGACTATTGGTTGTCGTATGTAAAAGTTATGCACGTTTTACTTTCAAAAACAGCATCTCAGAAAATAATTCGTGGGGGGGGGGGCTTTTAGACAGCGAAATTTAATTAGTTCAAAACGGTAGAAGTGGGCCCGGACGGACGGACAAAACGCAAACAATAGCACATTTTTTTAATTCTTAAAAAACGAACTAAAAAGTGGTGGGAAGTGGGGGAAGCTTAAAGCAAAGATATACTACAAAACAGAATCAATCTTACTACGTTTGTTTCTGAGATACAGAGCGAACAAGAAAACTTTGACTTTGGTTATCATGTATCTTACTACCCATGTAAGATAGAAAAAAAAGCACTATTTTCAATATTTTTATATATATATTCCAGAGGCGTATAGTCTAAAAAAAATTTCATGGACCACCATGATTACATTGATGTATCATAAATTCATAACCTATATTTTTATTTATGTATATACTGCATTACTTCATATTTTCATGTTCATGTTCACATGTTTTTACCGTTAACCATTTATTTTATTGGTATCGACGGCCTTAAGCGACCATGAATACAGTAATCAAAACAAAATCTGCATGAACCCATGACCTACTATTAAAAAACTGTAAAAAAAAAGGTTTTTATAGATTTTGATGAACTTTGGGCCAAATCTCAGCAACGGTGGTTCAAAATATTGTTTTGACGACGTCATTCAATTCTACGTAAAAATATCTAAAATACGCAGTTTTTACCTTCTTTACATTACATGGGTACGAGACGAGAACATCCAAAATAGTCAAACTTTTCGTTTTCACCCTGTATCTCAGAAACAAACGTAGCTAGATTGATTCTGTCTGTGGTATTGAACGGTTAAAAAAAAAATGGTAAAAGGTCCGGAAAGCCGCATATCTCTATCTTTAAAAACAGCCGAGGTCAAAACCAAAAGTTTAAAGAAGCGCAAAAGTGTGATCTGAAACTTGATCATTATCAAAAGAAGGCAGAATATCCATGAACGAATGGTGGCAGTTCAAATGTGGTAGGGCGTGCATTCATGACTTACCCACGGCGTGGAAGACAACTGGATGTATGAACTGACGAAATCAAGAAATTTAAAATCTTGGTGTCGAGCAAAAATATCGGGTGTTGCTAAATAAATGAGGGTATCAGAAACGAGTGTTTTTAAAATTTAGGAATGAGCAAGGTCACCGGCAGCCTCGAACATTGTGTAGACGATAGTGGGGTTTTGACATCTTTATCTCAAAAAATAAGTAAATAAATAATAAATAAATAAATAAATAAATAAATAAATAAATAAATAAATAAATAAATAAATAAATAAATAAATAAATAAATAAATAAATAAATAAATAAATAAACTTCGGATCACTTTAAGCCTTCCGCACAGCCACACTTTGGTCCGCACCATGTCTTGTATGAACAAAATATTTTCAATATAAGTAGGGTCATCAGGTGCGGTATGGTGCATGGTGCGGATCGGTTCCAGCTTTGACGACAACTCTTTCCACCCCCAATCCCTTGTATCCAGAGGGTCCCCTTCTCAAATTGGAAATGTAGGAAATTCAATGAGTTTTGATTTTGTAAATACCGATAAGTAGAGTTATGGGAAAGTTTCGATATTGATGGAAAACCAAAACATATGGGGGTTTTTGGACATGTTCAAGAGGAAGGTCCAAGGAACATTTAGACCAAATTTCAAAACTATAATTTTTTATTTTTATTTGGCGGTAGATTGACCGATGCTCATCTATTGACTATTTCTGTGAAGACTGAAGATGTCCACGAGATAAGCAGCGTATAAGTTGAAGAAACCAGCGATGTGCATATTATATTGTGACAACAGCTTAGAAACACAAAAGGACTACATTTCCGACACAAGTCGTCCCTGAATGATAAAATTAGCACTCTTCTTCATCTGGAAAACTTAAATCTAGCAGATAGAGATGGACACGAACTTAATGCGGCTCGAAAACTTATTTCCTTCGAGCCAAGCATCTATTCGATCTGTGTCTTTTCAGTCGCGTTCGAGAAAAATCTGTAAACTCCGAGACAAATCTGTTAAAAATGGGTCTTGGCCCAGTTCTTTAGTTTTTCGCTTTGACATGTTTTTAAAACATTATGTAGGTACCCTCGCCCTAGAGACGTAGAAGAAATTAACCGAATACAACGAAATATCCAAGGATCCTCAGTATTACAATCACTTTTAACGACAATTTATTTTAATCTTACATAACACGTTTTATAGTTAACAAAAATGCATCAAATTCATGTCTTGGTCATTGAGATAATGCTCTTAATCTTGTTCC